GAGAATGTGATGCAGGAAAGGCCAACAACCCGCAGGACCCCACAGCCTCTAAGAACACAGAGGGCAGCCTCCCACGCGTGTTCCGGAAACATCGAGGCTGTAACAGGGCCGCCCCGGGCACGGTCCAGCCCAGAGGGGACACGAGCCATGACGTCCACGTCACGTGAAAGGCGGGCATCCTGCGTGCACGCCTGCGGGGCCCGTCACCCCAGCTGGTGCGGGGCTCGACCTGAGGCGCTTCTCAGGCTGTGGTTCCCCAACCGCAGCCCCAACACAGGGCCTGGCGGTGCCGGCCGGTCCCTGTGGCATCCTCGTTGTGCAGTTAATTTGGAAGAAAAAAGCAAAGTGAAGTGAGTCGGGGGCCAGGCAGCCTGTCCCTCAGAGGGACCCGGGCTTGCCGGCACCCGCCTGTGGCCCTGGATCCACACTGCAGAGGCCGGACTCAGGGCCCCGGCCTGGGACTCCTGACGCCTCTCCACACCTGTCCTCTCGAGGAGCCGACCACCGCCCACCCAGCCGGACTCAGACTCTCAGGAAGCGTGCAGAAATGTCCTTTGGTTCCCACAAAATTTCTATCCATTGTTTTTACTGCTAAAAACTCCTTTAAAAAGCCATGCCATATGCCATTGGCAGATTCTGATTTTCCAGAAGACGTGCTTACGCGGTACTTCACAGTTCAATAACCTACGGCACCTTGACTAACGCTACTGAAATTAATCACCGACAAAAAACATTTGTTCTTTTTCAGTTCAATTTACTTTCAGGTACACCTTTGCCAAGAAGTACATTTACCGTGTTAGTGTTCAGCTCGTCAAGTGGTGGGGAGATATGCCAATCCAGCATTACACGCTGTCAGGGTTGAAGAGTGTCCCCCAAATTCATGTCTACCCAGACCTCAGAAGGTGACCTTGTTGCAAACTATGGTCTTTGGAGATGTAACTAGTTAGGGATCTCGAGACAAATCAGGCTGGATTCAGGATAGGCCCCAAGGTCGACGACCGGGGTCCACATGAGGGAACAATGAGGACAGGCCACGTGTTCACGATGAGGGACGACCAGGCCACCTTGACTTTGGAGTGCCAGGTTCCAGACTGTGAGGGAACACGCATGTGTGGTCCTTGTCACAGCAGCCCAGGACCCTGCCGCGTGGCGGCACAGGGCCCGGCACAGGAAGGCTGCACCGTGTGCTCGCCGTGTCCTACGTGTTCAGTCAGGAACAGGCAAGAGATTGGTTAGAACCTTCTCGGTAAGCAGCACGTGTGCGAGGCCGGCAGGGAGGGGCCCTGGCGGCTTGGCGGTGACGCGGGGGCATGAGGGCAGAGCACTGGGGAGGGGATGCCTGGCCTGTGGGGGTGGTCCGGGACATCACCCGCCATGCCGGGCGCCAGGTTCCTCCCGGGCGTCAGTCCACAATTCTCAGGAACCACTGGATCTTTCTTTGGGAAGAGCGAGGCACCCATACTGCTTCCTTGGTTTACTCCGCGACGCCTCGACTTCTCAGGCTCCAGGGAAGTTTCACAAGTGGTTGATGCCTGTATTGATGCTGCTGCCCGGGTTTCGAGAACGGTCTTGGGCTCCACAGCTAACATCTTCATTGACCCAACGGTCCTTAGAAACTCTCAACTGAAAGTCATATTCCATGCATTTGGGATCACGATCATCTCCCGAAAGTCTGCCGTATTTACACAGCAACCCCTATGCAAAAATGTAATTAGAAGTTTTGGCGAACGAACGGCCATTTATCCTGAGGCTTTAAAGAGCCACGTGGACGTGAAAATCCTCCAAACACTGAAGGATGGATCGTAGGCGCACTTGTTTAATGAGCAAGTGATTCCACTGAAGCCCACGGACTTCCCTCCCACTCTTGGCGGAGGTGCCACAGAGCCGAATCTGACCCATCCCGGAACGGCACTCAGCGGGCAGCATCCTGGGGCGTCGCTGGGCGAGGCTCGCTGCTCCCAGGAACCGAGCTCGGCGGCCCGCGGGCCTTCCCAGGCCGGGGGTGGAGGAGAGCCGTCTGCCCGGTGGCGCTCGGGTGCATTCAGATGCGCTGTCCTGTCCCGACACTCACGCGGACTGAACAGAAGCCCTGGGACGTGCCCCTGGCTCGTAAGTGAAAGACCCACGTCCCCAACTAACAGGCTCCCGGGGAGGCCGCATCTCCTGCTGGTGGCCAGAGCCTCCGACAGGAGCAGCTGAAGACCTCTCTGCTCCATCAAGCCCAGCACCTCCAACCGGCACTGATGGGAAGAGCCGCTGGTCGAAACAGCTGCCCAGCTGCCTCACTTCCGTCGGGAGAGGCTTCTCTGACCTTCCGAGGCCCTCACACACCCTCCTCGCCCCCGATGGGAGACACTGGTCTCCCCACGATGCGCCCTGGGCGTCCCCGCTCTCAGTCTACCGTGGCTCAGCCCTCGAGTCCCCAGGACCCCTAGCCGCCTACGGACCCCCACGCCTCTCCAGCACCGCCACCGTGTGGCTTCCCGGCAGGGCAGGGGGCAGGGATTTGGACACACAGAAATGCTCACGCTGGGACACAAGGACACAGTGGTGGTTTCATCAGTCGACCACCTGACGAAGGGAGGGAGGGAGGGGCCGCACGAATACACATTTATTCCTTTTCCCAGTACCTGATGCCACGCTTTGCACCTGACGTCATACAGGTGCACAGAGGTGGGGAGGAGCACACGATGGCAAGGGGACGGAGCCTCTCACCCTCCGAGCTCCAGAAGTGCGGGCGGCCCGAGCTCCTCTGGGCTGGCACTGGGCTGCCCGCCAATTGCCCCGGGAGGATGGGACCCTGAGCTGCTGGGGCCAGGGGTGGCGAAGCTGACAGAAGACGAGGCTGGGGGCCCAGGGCAGGACCCTGTGGGGTCAAGGAGGGGCGGACATATGTGTGCTGCTCTCCTTCTGAAAACCAGCTACTGTGGGAATCGTCTCCTAAAAATAGCGTTTCAAATAAGTCCTTATCTTTGTCAGGTAATTGTGATGGGAAAGCAATCGGAACAAAGACCTCCTGTCTTTTCCTGCAGGAAGGGGAATAGAAAGCTGGAGACACTTATTAAAAACTCAGGTAGCCCGTCAGATAGCGGTGCTTAGGAATCCTGGAACATTGCGGGCTATCAGCAACTTAGAGATTCTTGAGACTCCTTAGTGACTTCGAGAAAAACGTGTCTGCTCTTGGGAAAACTTCCCGCCAATTCGCAAGACAGTCCCTCCTGTCTGCCGCGACCCCTGTGTGCAGGAGCCCCTTGTTTTAGGAAACAGGACAAGTCAGGAAGTGGGGGGCACGTTATGAGATAAAGACAGCACCCAGCATATCTGCTAGCCCGCAGAGTGGCCCCAGCCCTCAGCCGTCTCCCCGGAGGGCACAGCAGCCCACGTTCCCGCTGTAGGGGAGGAAGCGTCATTCTCAGATGGGCCGGCCCTAACTGCGCCACCGACCGCACTCTTTGGGCTGTGGCCGGCTTCTCGGCCCAGCACCTGCCAGGGGCTCAGCCGTGCTGTGCGCCACACAGCCACGGGGCAGTTCCGGACGCACACCTGCAGCGACCTTGACCCGAGCCGGAGCACTGCCCCTCCTCGTGGTGTCTGTTCTCAGGGAAGAGAAGGCCCGTTCAACACCTCCCGGACTTTTCCACACGTACAAGCTGCTGGGCAGCTCCCGCCTGGCCAGCTTCGGTCTTTCGAAGGATCTTTACTTCTCTGCAGGTGGCTCAGCTCAGGGAGGAGAGCGAAGGATGAGCTAGGGGCCGCTCTGTGCATGGCAGGCTCACCGTCCTGAGCACCGTGAGAAGCGACCCCTGCGTAGAGGGTCAGGATCTCATCAAAATGTGGCTTTTCAAGCCCCCAGTGGCCTGAAATCAATGGGGGCGGTGGCCTTTGGTGAGGGCACCGGGGGCCCAACAGCGTCAGACACGGGACCAGCTTTGAACAAGACAGACGTGCTCCCGGGCTCGCTGCAGGGCCTGAGAGTGGACCGATGAGCGCTCCCGGCCCAGAAGTGAGGAGAGAAAAACCAGCAGAAGCAAGCGAAGACACCGGGGGCCGACAACCCCGCTCCTGACACACCCTCTCCCAGCTGTCGGTGAGCGTCCAGGCACGACCAGCACGTAGCCGAACATTCACACACGTGCACCTGTGAGCACGCCCGCTGAGGAGCCGTCAGACGAGCTGCAACATCAGACAGGAGAACTTCGACACCACGCTGCTCACCTCCGTCAACCAAGGGGAGCTACGGAGTGACGGAGAGCGCGCCCGTCTGTCTTTCGGGGACGACCTCTACGGAGGAGGACGAGGACCGTGTGGCAGCGTCTGTGACGGTGACGCCGACAGGACAGTGACTGCTTGAGGGCCGCCACGTCTCTACCCGGTGTGAGCCGGGTGCCGGGCGAACCCTCGGAGGGCTTCCTGGTGTGGGCCGCCCGGCCTCCCCGTGCAGGCTCGGCACAGGCAGCGGGGTCACGGCTGTGCCGGCGGAGGAGAGGCTCCGCGGTCACACGACGGGGACCCACAGGGCCGAGGCTTCTCACGTGTGCCTGTCCCTAGGGGGCGTCCCGCCAGGGCCCTGTGGGTGCGCCCGGGACACGCACGGCCTCCAAGCTCCGGAGAAGCGAGTGACAGCCACGAATGTTTCGGCGAAAGACGACACTGGCCTCCAGCAGCGCCTGCCCGTCGGGCGCCGCAGAAGCAGCCCCCTCCAGCCACACCTCCCCGCCGGCTTCCTGGGTGTCTCACAGCCGAAAATAGCCCTCACGTCGGGGCGTCACGTCCCGCCGGTTGGCGATGGGTCACCTGATTAGCTTCAGAAGTCCGAGGGACTCCAACAATGGCCCCCTTTTGACAGTGACACACGATTACTAGGAATTTCTGCCAAAAACATGGCCGGTGAGAACGGCAAGGTCACACCTGCCCGCGAAGCGCAAACACAGCCTCTGCGGCTTTCCCGAAGCCCGTCGACTGTGGCGGAGGCTCCCGCCACGGCGGGTTGCGGTGCCTACCTCCACCACGGACTTGGAATCCAGCCGGAAGTTGAAATCTCCAAACACAAAGTAGGACACTTTCTCGAATCGCTGGTCGATGATTCTGGGAGGAGAGAAGGAGACCACGTTACTGCCACGCCGGGCGATCAGCTTCTGCACCAGGCTCCCCTTCCACGCACCCTCCCCGCACCCCCAGACAGACGGCGCGGCTCTCTCAGCACAGACGCGCCGTCACCACGGGCCAGGGCCGTGGGGAAACCGCAGCCGGTGGGTGGTGCAGCCGGCGCGGGGGAAGGACTGAGGCCAGGAAACGGGGCTCTCGCTGGGAGCACAGGACTCAGGACGCAGGGGGAGGGAGTCTGCACGCTCCTCCCAGGTGGGATGGGACGCGAGTGAGCTCTGGAAGCGTCTGTGACACTCCGTTTCCACGTTTCAAAGGCATAAAACCGCGTCTGTTTTTCAAAGCGAGACGCTGCCTCCCTGACGTCTTGCCCACATGTTCTGAGTCAACCGCAGCCCCTTGGTATCTTCCCACTGAAACGCACACACGGCGGCCACTGTGCGAGCGGCCCCTCACGCACAGTGGGACAACCGCTCAGACCCCAAGTCCTCGTGGTTACCGGCCGCTGCTCACTTCTGACGGCAAAGCAAGGTGCCGGCCGTTTCTGACCGGAAAGCAGAGCGAGAGCCATCGCTGACCAGCAGGACGGAGCGTGTGGCCGGCACAGAGGGAGGGACGTCCGGGGAGCCCGCGTCACTGCCGTGGCTCCGCTCACGCGTTTGCAGGGACGGAGCTGCGGGGTGCAGGGTGCAGGGTGGAGGGTGTCCCTCCCACGGGCCCATCCCAAGATGGACTGAGATCGAATCCTGTCAGGCAGGCAAAGGCCAGGGCGAGGACGGCACCGGATTAACTCGGAAAGCGCCACCGGTTACCGGGAAAGCTGGCACAGCCGGTAACGCCTCGGGCGCCGCTTACCGACTCAGCCTCTCGTCACTTGACTCGTTAGCTCGAGAAACAGAAGAAAGGGCCAAGCGCAGGACGACGTGCCGCCTTCTCCGGCTCGGCACGTCCTCCCAGGTCACAAGAAGGGTCCCTGCAGGCTGCGGCTGGCAGCGAAGGGACGCGCAGGCTCCTGGCGCCCAGGCTCTGCGGAGGCCCCGCGACCCTGTGCCGCGAAGGTGCAGGCGGCGTGCGGCGAGTTCACCGGCACCCTGTCAGCCCGTCCCGTCTGCGGAACAAACGACGCCTTCCGCTTCAACTGCGCCCTCCGCCCATCCCCACCACGGAGACCACCTGCCTCGCCAGGCACCGGTTGGGACCTGTGTTTCTGTCTCTACTTATTTCTGGCCGGTTTCTCTTTTCAATCCTTCCCTTCTTTTTTTTTTTTTTTTGAATTCCGGAAGGCTCCCTGTAAGCCGGTGGTGATCCACGTTCTCGGTCCGTGGATGCTCTCCGCGCGGTTCCCGGCGGTTTCTGCCCGGTACGCGCCGTAAGCTTCACCGGGGGTGCGGGTGCCAGCCGCCGGCCGTGCGTCCTCTCCAGAAGCCCGAGCCCCTGCCAGGCTCTCCCACCATTGTTAAGGCAGAGTTCGGTGGTTAGACTTTAATCCGTCTGGAATCACAGTGTGAAGCGGGGATCTCAGTTCATCGATTTTCCCGGCGGCCGATCGACCGCACCATTTATTAAACACGCGACGCTCTTCCCATTCAGTCTGTGCAGCACACAATTGCCCCAATCACACGGGTCTTTCTGAGATCTCCATCTACCCCGCACACTTGGAATTAAGGCCACTTTCCACAGCGACACCCTTCTTGCTGACAGTTCCTTTAAAAGTCACCTCCACCATTTCCCCATTTCTCTTGCAGTCATGAACTGCTGTCATCGAGCTATGTTCCCCAAAACATGCCGTTTTCCTTTTTACTTGGAGTAACTTTCAACTTACACGTGAACTTGAAGACGAAGGACACGTTCGTACATCATTAATACTGCAGACGACCAGTAGCTTCCTTGTACAAATTAAACTTTTTAATTGAGGAATAAGGCGGTCAGGGTCCTAGTGGGGGCACCTGCTGACGCATCCGCACGGGCCCAGGACCACCAGCACCCCTCCTCCCCTGCCTCTGCCCTGCACGGGACTCAGTCTGTCAGCAGGAAGCCAGCTGCCTCTGCCGTCCTGAAAAGGCTAAAGCTTCTTCTGCCGTTAAACTCCTTTAGAACAAAAAACTCTTGAGAGACCCTGCGTAGGTTCCTAGAAAGGTCTCCAGAATGTCTACAGCATCAGGGCACCTGCAGCATGGGCTTCTTGGCCTCCCCCATGAAGGTCGGGGTCCGATCCTTCCTGCCTCCCTCCCCTCCCCCCATGGAGGTTGGGGGTCCGATCCTTCCCGTCCCCCTCCCCTCCCCCGTGGAGGCTGGGGTCCGATCCTTCCCGTCCCCCTCCCCTCCCCCGTGGAGGCCGGGGTCCAGATCCAGGATGCAGAAGCCCCGACGGGAAAGGAGAGGCCACGGTGAGCTCTGTTCTGGAGAGGGAGCCTCCTCACCAGAGCTGAGGGCTCTTCATGCAGTGGCGATGCTGCTGCCGGGAGGCCTTCCGGGGCTATTTCGGGCGGAGAGAATACAATCACTGGGGGGTCAGTCACATTATTAGGCAGACAGGTTTCTGTTTCCAGAGGTTGCACAGGGATGCATGTTGCTCTGAGGGCACCTGTCCCCAGGGCTTCCCCGGGAAACGGAGAGGCCCCTCAGCGAAACGGAACTGTGTGTGTAAACCGGGAGGAGGCCGCCCCCCTCTGCCCCCAGCCGACTCTCTCTGCGCCTGGCTCGGCGACGCCACCGGCCTGCCCTGCCTCCCTGAGCAGAGGCAGAGCCACCTGGCCAGGCTGGCTCCGTGGGCATCACTCCGCCAAGGCCCGGAGACACAAGAGCCTGGTGGGCGCCATCGGGGGGACTCCGCGGGTCAGAAGGAACGCTGCCCACAAGATGGCCGCTGCTGACACGGGGAGCTGGCCTGTCGCCGTGGAGCCCGGGACGTGGCAATGAGAAGACTGGCCAGTGCCGGGGGACCCCCGGAGCCCCTCGTGTCGTCCGAGCCATCAGCGGTCACACCGGCACCACCCAGTGCGGCCACACACGTCCTCCCAGCCAGTACACGTGACCTCGTGCCCCTCAAAGGCTTTTCACTTTTCTGTTTTATTTATTTATGTTTTTAAGAAAAACGGAGCCAAAGCAACACTGCAACTTTCCCTCGCCGAGGGAAGAGGGGTCCGCTCGCCGGGCAAACGCTTCGAATGTCACAGGGTCCACACGTCTGGTCTTTAAGATCCGCCAGCTTCTGTCCGCTGGGGGCACGGGAACTCGTGTTCCTCGAGGACGCTGCACGTAGAGCACGATTCACCACTCCGCGCTCTCTACGCATTTGCCCCTCCTGGGACCGCGAGCACGGAGCTCGGGGAAACGCTTCACACGTGACCCGCAGAGACGGGACACAGGAGACGTGTGTGCGCACACGTGCCACCAGCGGGGGAGGGGGGACACAGCCGTGCCACGTGTACGTGGTGTGCCTGCGCGCGGTGACGCCTCGCATGCGTGTGGGCGCGTGTACCCACATCACGCGTGTGCTCTCCGTCTACCCCCGCAGCGGTAGAGACGAACGAGAGGGACCGGAGTTCGCATGCGCCCGGCAATCCGTAACCGTTTCCCGGGCTGACGCCGTCTCCTCGCGTCTTTGCCTCGAGAAATCCCACCTGCTCTGGTACGAATCGCTGCGGTCGCCCTCTGTGCTGGCGCAAGGCCGGCACTTTGTGTTTCCTCGGGTCCGTGAAAGTTCAGAAGGTGTGTGAAGCCACCGGGGTCAGGGCGCCACTCCAGGTCTCCGGGATGCGCGGAGGCTGTGGCGGGAGCAGGTGGAGGCGACGACGGCACGTGAGGAAGTCGGCTCCGGGCCTGGGGCCACTGGGCGGCCGGGCGTTTGTGAGACGGCAGAGACCCCGGGCTCACGTGCACAGGGCCTCCGGCGGGTGGCGGGGGAGGGGGTGCTGGACACGGGCCACCCGTCCTCACGGGGCTCGAGGCATTGAGCTGACGTGACAGGAGGGGACAGGGGCTGCAGAAGGTGCGGACAGCTGACGCCCGGGACGGGAATTATGGACGCCGCCCACTGCTGGCTAATGAACGGTACGAGGCCTTGGGAGGTGAATTCCTTCATTAAAAAACTGACAAACTTCAGATTTAGCATCTGAATGGAGGTTTAAGAGCTCCAGCGTGTCTAGAGTGAGAAACGTGAGGTTCCTCAGGCCTTGTCGCCATGGAGGCGCACAGGGATGCCTGTGGCCCGCGGCCCTGTCCCCCCCTCCCCCCGACAGGAGCCCCGGCACGGAGCCGGCGTGGCCCCCGCAGGGGTCCCGTCAGCAGTGCTAGGCTCTTGTAACACCATCATTAAAACCTAAACTCGATCACGTTTCCACGCCCGCCCTGCTCCTTTGATGGAATGGCCCGCGCTCATCAATAACCACCACCATCTCCAAAGGTCGCGTGGTGTGCAAGATGGAGGGCTGTCACGGCCGAGGCAATCACCTGAGTGCCAGGCCCGCCGCCCTCACGGCACTCACGTTTAATTTCGATATAGTGCCATTTGGGCCAAGAGAAAAAAGTTGTTTTAAAATTAATTACCTTGTCAGACGCTATTATGATTAAAAAGTAGGCCCACATCAATATCATGTGCCTAATTCAGAAAGAGAATTACAAGAAGAGCCATAAAAATCAATTTTTTAGGCCTTGAAAACAGAGTCTCTTTCTGTTTTGACAGGCGATTTCATTATGTGACAAGCCACGCTGACACGTGCCGTATCACAGAGGCCCGCACGCCGAGGAAGGGGTCGCGGGCTCGGGTCTCGGTGAACGACCGGTGCCCACCCTCCGAGGATGGGGACAACGTCCCCTGAAGGAAGTCACGGCTCCAACACTCAGAAGCTACAATGTTCCTGGCCGGTGGCCTTGGAGCGGGCGGGCAGGTGGGCGAGCCGTGAGCAGTCCCACGAGGCACGGACGGCACCCGACACCCCCAGAGCCTGGTGCGGTTCGGGAAGCAGACGGTGACCCGACCG